GTAGGTACCCTCTCTTGTAGGTGTGTGTGTGTGACTACACCTTCACACCACACATTCTCACACACACGTCTTGAGCAGGTATGACCTACACCTGCTCATACTCACCTGTATCATTCAAGTGTGTGTGGTCTCTTATGCATATACACATACCTGTGTTTCGATGGTATGTGTGGTATGCTGCACCCGCAAACACACCTGTATTTCCAAGTGTTGTAATTTCCTACACATACACGTACACCTGTAGGTGTGTGTGTGTGCAACTTGCTTCACATATACAAGTACAGAAACACACACATACACCCCTTCCCTGTATCATGCATGTGTGTGTAGGCTCTTTGACCAACATCATGCAGGTATATTGGGCACTCTGTACACACACGCAAGTAACCAGGTGTGTGGTAGTAAGTGTGTTAAGCATCCTACACCTTCATACATTCTAGCCTTAACTGTATCGTGCATGAGTGTGTGTGAACTAGTCCATGATGTTAGGCTCAGTGTAGGTGTCTGGTTGTGTAGCTTCAATTACTCGCTTATCTCAACAGCAGCGTCTACAAGAACTCTATATAAGAACATAAGAATGTAAGGATAGAGGATCATGGTGGTCCTTCTCAAAAACAACCCTACTCCCTCATATATGTGTTACCTTGAACGATTCTACCTGGCAGATTGCTTGTTTTGTCTACTGCACATCTCTATTGCTAAAACAGTACTTTCTTAAATCTTTCCTAAGTGTGTATTTATTCCGTTTAGATCCATTGTTTTGAATTCTTTCTTGGTTTGATATTCTTAGCACTCTGTTTACACCTTTCTTCTTTAAACCTGTTTTCCTCTTATATACTTCATGTCTTCCCTCATCCTACGTGTTTCTTGCCAGTATAGTTTCTTGCCAGTATAGTTTCTTGCCAGTATAGTTTCACGTCACCTAGTCGGTCTACTTATTTTTTATATAGTGGACTAATTTTGATATCCTTCTCTGCGTGTTTTTTATTACATTTACATCTATTTATTAGTAGAAAGACCATAATCTGAGGCTTAATAACTAATGTATAAAGGTGTACGAATGTCTTCGTGGTTCTCTAGTTTATACAGTAACACTAGTCAAAGACAATTGTTGTTGAAGATATTACAAGGTATTTAAAGTATACCTGGAGTATACCTGTGGTCAGCGCCCCAGCGACCCGGTCTGAGACCTGGCCTCGTGGTGGATCAGGGACTGATCAACTAGCCTGTTACAGCTGGCCGCACGTAAACCAACGTAAGAACGACAGCCAAACTGATCAGGTACTGACTTTTAGTGTCTGTTTAGAGTCTTCTTGAAGACAGCCTGGGGTCTATTGATAATCCCTGTGGCATGCAAAGAGTACATAACCTTTATTCGGCGCATGTACACACCCTCAGTCCCAGGCTGTCTCCCCCAACCAGTGAACCAGGTATTAAGAGAGTTGACGATGGGGCCCCGTCGTTCAACTAGTGACCAGGTTCCAGCCAATAAGAAGATGGTTTTGGCAATCGCAGAGGTTATGTGGGTACCACTCTCCTGTCTGCCCTTGTCATTCCCATTCTAGAGCTGGTTGAAGCACGGTCTGCTCTCTTGTAGCTTCTATTCTGCCTTGCTTACCGTGGAGTGCACTATACTTATCACTGTACATAGTGTATATAGTGTACAGGTGAAGGATAATATAAGTCAAAACTTTTCTGCTGTGTCTATTTTGCTCCCTTTACACCCAGGATAACAGGCCATTTGGACTCCTGGGTTGATCAGGGACTGATCAACTAGCCTGTTACAGCTGGCCGCTCGTAAACCAACGTAAGAACGACAGCCAGACTGATCAGGTACTGACTTTTAGTGCCTGTATAGTCTTCTTGAAGACAACCTGGGGTCTATTGATAATCCCCGTTATATATGCTGGGAGGCAGTTGAACAGTCTTGGGCCCCTGACACTTATTGTGTTGTCTTTCAGTGTACTCGTGACGCCCCTGCTTTTCATCGGGGGAATGTTGCATCTCCTGTCGAGTCTTTTGCTTTCATAGGGAGTGATTTTCGTGTGCAAGATTGGTACTAATCCCTCTAGAATTTTCCAAGTGTATATTATGATGCATCTTTCTCGCTTTCCAAGGAGTAATTTAGATGCTTTATTGTACTTATTCATGTAGTGAAAGTTCTCTGTATATTCTCTAGGTCAGCGGTTTCGCCTACCTTGTAAGGGGCCGTTAGTCTACAGCAATTCTCGAGCCTAGAGAGGACAAGCGATATGAACAGAATCATCATGGGCTTGGCATCCATAGCTGTGAAAGTTTTCATTATCCATCCTATCATTTTCCTAGCAGATGTGCCAGACACACTGTGATCTTTGAAAGTGAGATTCTCTTACAATATCACCCCCAGGTCCTTCACATTATTTTCTCGCTTTATTGTAGAGTTGAAATCTGTCTTCATTGATCTTCATATTGCTTTTTGAGGTCCATTTAAATACTTGGTTAATGTCCGCTTGGAGATTTGCAGTATCTTCAATGGATGACAGTCATGCAAATTCTGGTATCGTCCTCAAAGGAGGACACGGTACTGTGGCTTACATCTCTGTTTATGTGAGACATGAGGATTAGGAAAAAGATAGGAACGAGTTTATCTGGAGTTTACCTGGAGAGAGTTCTGGGGTCAACGCCCCCGCGGCCCGGTCTGTGACCAGGCCTCATGGTGGATCAGAGCCTAATCAACCAGGCTGTTACTGCTGGCTGCACGCAATCCAATTTACGAGCCACAGCCCTGCTGGTCAGGTACCGACTTTAGGTGCTTGTCCAGTGCCTGCTTGAAGACAGCCAGGGGTCTATTGGTAATCCCCCTTATGTATGCTGGGAGGCAAATGAACAGTCTTGGGCCCCTGACACTTATTGTGTTGTCTCTTAACGTGCCAGTGACACCCCTGCTTTTCATTGGGGGGATGTTGCATCGTCTGCTGAGTCTTTTGCTTTCGTTGTGAGTGATTTTCGTGTGCAAGTTCGGTACTAGTCCCTCTAGGATTTTCCAGGTGTATGTAATCATGTATCTCTCCCGCCTGCGTTCCAAGGAGTACAGGTTTAGGAACCTCAAGCGCTCCCAGTAATTGAGGTGTTTTATCTCCAATATGCGTGCCGTGAAGGTTCTCTGTACATTATCTAGGTCAGCAGTTTCACTTGCCTTGAAAAGTGCTGTTAGTGTGCAGCAATTTTCCAGCCTAGATAGAACGAGCGACCTGAAGAGTGTCATCCTGGGCTTGGCATCCCTAGTTTTGAAGGTTCTCATTATCCATCCTGTCATTTTTCTAGCAGATACGATTGATGCAATGTTACGGTCCTTGAAGGTGAGATCCTCTGACATGATCACTCCCAGGTCTTTTCTCAGAATAGCTACTGAATCCCCTTATATGTATACTTGTGTAGTATATTGTGGATCGTATCATTCATGTATATATTTAAGCTCCCTGGTCGGTAGGCTCAGTGAATAGCATGTGTGACGTCATGTGACTCTGTTGTGAGCCCTTCGTGCCTCGGATCCCTCTCAATTCCTGTATAGGTCTACAACAGGCAACAGGGCAGTTTGGGCTCCCCCTTCTCACACTGCAATATAGTGTTACCATCCAACAAGTGTGTTTATCTCCAACCTTGATATCTCCTACAAACCCCCACTACAAATGGTGCCAGTGGAGGGCCTGTATTTCTGACAGTTACAGCGATTTCTGAAGTTAAATTTCTACTGAGCCGGTCGTGAACATTAAGCCTCCCGAGATGGGTGACGCTCAACATCCCAAGCCAGCTACCCCAAGCAAGCTTTCACCAGTCTACTGCTTCCTACTTACTGGTCAGTCTGTGTCTTGGTGTTTTAGTTGCTTATTTGCATTACTTCCGAGGGGTTGACCCAGGTTTGCAAAGTAGCCAAGCCACCAAGCCAGTCTGTGGGGGGGGGGGAGTCCAGTCAGTCCTACACCATCCAGCCTTGCCTGCTAAGCCAGCTTTCCACCCCTGCTGCACTTATCATTACAAGTTATCAAGCCAGTCTGTGTGAAGGGTTAAGCCAAGCCAGTCAGCAACTAACCCAGGTGACTTAATCCAGTACTCAAGCAAGCCACGTGGGTACAGCCTTCTCCATCGCTGTGTGCTTCCAGTTCTAGCTGCTCTGAGTGTTTTACCATCCCTGTGGTGTTGTGGTATTTTGTGGGTTTTTAAGCCAGCCTGGCTTAGAATATTTTCGTGCCTAGTGTGGGTGTCCCTAGAGTGGCTTACGCCATTCATTCCATAGGCCCACTTGGTGTTTCAGCGTGGCTGCCTCAAGCACTCACACCACCACCAATACCACTTCATTTTTGTGCCCTTATAACAGGTTCTAGCACCATATTTTACAGACCACATAAGGGGTCAAGAGACAAGAGTGTTCCTTCGACCCTGTGCGCCTACGTAAAAGCCTCATGTGTGAGTCCATTGTAGTTTTAAGCGCAAATTCGTCAAGGCGTCAACGTGTTTGAGAGTAGTGGACGCTGCGCCAGCTACACCAACCTCCATCCTCCTCCCATCACTACTCATTCTCCAGCAACGTCGTCACAGTGATAATATTTTTATAGAGACATTTGCCTGTGTTGAGACAATTTTCTTGACAGTGATTTCGTAGTGATATTCAGTGACTCTTGATTAGACTATGTTCATTATATCCTGTTTGCAATATTTTTTTTTTCTTTCTTCAGTGTTAATTTTTGTACTTTATTTTTATGTCTGTTGTGTTGTGTTCTTTGTTTTTATGTACTTGAAGTAAGTACTTTAATGTTTTTCCTTGTTGTGTGCAATATATAAGCAGTATAACCTTGTGCTTACACTTCACAATTATCGTGTGTTCACAGTACTGTGTTCCTTGCCTTGTAATTTATACAGTGAAGTAATTCAGTAACTTATCTTACATTCTGCATCACAACTCAGTGTTGTCTCGGTTATTTTTTTTTTCTCCCAGCATTTGTGTCCTTACTGAATTTTTTTTT